AGAGAGAGAGAGAGAGAGAGAGAGAGAGAGAGAGAGAGAGAGAGAGAGAGAGAGAGAGAGAGAGAGAGAGAGAGAGAGAGAGAGAGAGAGAGAGAGAGAGAGAGAGAGAGAGAGAGAGAGAGAGAGAGAGAGAGAGAGAGAGAGAGAGAGAGAGAGAGAGAGAGAGAGAGAGAGAGAGAGAGAGAGAGAGAGAGAAGAGAGAAGAGAGAGAGAGAGAGAGAGATAGAGAGAGAGAGGGTGTAGATAGAAAGGCGGAGGCAATTTGATGGACATTAGAAGAGAAGAAAGTATGGTAAGTTGCAAGGAAAAGGAAGTGGAAGCTGTTGGTTTGTAGTAATTTTGTGATACGATCATCTTCTAGTGGTGAGAAAATGAAATTGGGTGCATTGGTATATATATATACCATTCAGATCTTATACTCTTATTCGGATTTAACATATTATTATATAATTGTTCCAATGCAAAAATAAATACTTTACTATTAACAAAAATAATTAATTACATATTTTGTTAAAACTTAAATAAAATGATATCATCATTTAACATCAACCAATTAACCTCATACATCCAACTTCTGAATCGCCACCTCCTTCACTGAACTCACCAATCTCCCAAACACCTTCAGATTCTCTCCAATTTTATTCTGGAACACACAAACAAAACAAAACAAAACACCATATATATTAACTCTCTTAGCAAGGAACCAACTACTTTATAGAGCCCTCTATCCCCGGCTTCACTATTTCTCTAGAGCCCTCAAACAAACTACACCATTTGCTCAACACTTGTGCAACTTAAGGCTAAGTTAAGGGTATGGCGCTGATACCATGTTAGGAATCACGACTCTCCACAATGGTATGATATTGTCCACTTTGAGCATAACCTCTCGTGAATTTGCTTTGAACCTCCCCAAAAGGCCTCGTACTAATGGATTCCTTACGTCCCGAGGTACAACTCTCTACTAGTTTAAATTTTCAGTAACAAGTATATTGGAAGTAGTAAAAGAGTGTGATAGACAGAAGAATACCTCACTCAGCAACTCAAGCCTTTCTAAGACGGGAATCAATTTCCCACACAATGAACTTATTTCATGTCCTGACTCCAACTCCCCATGATATGCAATTGCTTTAATATTTGCATTCCCATCAGGAATAACACTGCTGCAAACTCCAAACATAGATATCATTTTCAACCTCACACTGTTCCCAAGTATATGCATATCATATCACATTTAACTCACCTGTCTTGAAAATGAATAAGCATCACATTTAACACATACTCAGCCAGAGGGAGTAGCAATGTAATCATCTCACTTTTATTTCCAACAATCTTGCACATTTCAATCATTGCAATATATCTCCTGCATAACAACATCAAACCATTCATATGTATCTATATTCCTCACATCTACACGTTATATATAGTTGTATTAAACTTTTGGTGTAACGGTCCAAGCCCACCGCTAGCAAATATTGTCCTCTTTGGGCTTTAAAACGTGCCTCTAGGGAAAGGTTTCCACACCCTTATAAAGGGTGTTTCGTTCTCCTCCCCAACCAACGTGGGATATCACATTTGCCCACAATCTATCTTCGAAATAAGAGGGCAAGTCCGAAAACTACGCGGAAAATGGACTAAAAAAAGTATGATTAGTAGGTGGAGAAAGGAACCTTCTCTGGATGTTATCAGATAACGAGGCAAAGTCTTCACCAAGACACAGTACGATAATTTCCTCGACCTCCTGTCTCGACAGTTCATTTATGTCTCGAATCTGCAAGACCTCAAACCATGATATTGTTGCATTGGATGAACCATATACAACCAGGAAAGGGGGAAATACAATGTAGCAGCCAAACCTTGTTTAATAGCAACAATCTTTCTTCAGCTGCTTTTTCAAGAGTAATCGTCGTAGAGTTCAGAAGAGTACCAAGCAAATCCAACGAGGGACGTTGAGACCGAACAGGAGAGTTATGGCTCGAGGAAGTACCAGAGACCTGAACGATCACATCAGAGAGTTAAATTCCAAACTATAGTCGTGTCAGTCATTTTTGGCAAAGAACAGTACCTGCAATCTTAGAGATTTCCTTGTTACTAGAAAATATAAATAAGAGATCAAGCTGAAGTTGAGCTGAATGGAGTGAAGTTCTGAGCTTCTCCGGTTCTGAAGAACAAAAAGCATGATAAGTTTAATTTTCCAGGAAAAAAAGAACCATTCTATAAATAAACAAACAAAAAGCACAAACCTTAAGCAATTTAACTGCTGGGCCAGGAGTACGAGAATCCAATTCACGAGAGAAAAGCGAATGCATCAGTTGGAAGAGACTTTGAACAAAACCATATTCATCAGTCTCCTCATATGGCCAAACCTTCCCAGAAACAAAAATTATTGAAATGTTAGTCAACAAAAAGATCTTAATTTTCTAATATATCAAGGTTGTTACCTTGCTAAGCGAAGCAACGAGAAGATTAATCTGCTCCAACGTCGAATCATCGGCTTCAGATACGTCCTCCCCAAGTATTTGATCAAATACTCGTTGGTGTCGTTTAATAAAATCTATAGCTTCTCGAACAATTTTATTTTTAACCTACAATATATACATCAAATCACAATAGATTCAAACAAATCGTTCAAATAAATGTCGCATATTCGTAATAGAGGTCGAAGGTCAGGGTCTAATAAGGAAAACTTGAACATTAACTGATTAAGCAAAAAAAAGAATGTCTGTTTAGTGTATGCTGACCTCAAAAAACTCGGACGTGTCAACTAATGACGTCATAGAAAACAACAGTCTCAAAATCGGAGTTACGATAGCTTGTTGCTTGTTAAAATTCCCTGCTACATCTCTATGAGGCTTCATATCAACCCACCTCAAATTTCCCTGCTACAGCACTTCATTAAACTAAATCTTCTAAGACAAATCCAATAACATAGTAGACAGTTAATCACCTGTAAATTGATTGCCCTGCATGAATCAAGGTGCTCCAATGCGCCTGTGGAAAAGAGAAGCTGAGCCCCAAATTTTCCGTACTTGTGGCTAATCCTCGACAATAAGGCAAGTTCAGCCTCGAGGGTGCATGCTCGTTGCAATGAATCGAAAGAGTGCACGCCATCCTAAAGGGTTTCCATTTTATGAGTTGGACCAATATCAGCTAATAAATATATCAGAACTATTTCACTGAAGAGAGGAAACAACCACCTGAAGTGAAACGTTACTTATGCTGACCAAACAAGACTTCAAAAATCCCCTGTTCTGGAGTTGGTTCAGGAAAAATCTGTCATGATCTATACAGATTAATGCATCGAGTACGTAGAGCGATATAGTCTTCCCTGGTTCACTGCCTTGAGTTGCATCCTTGATAACCTAAGGATTAAGATCAAAAGATTAAAGAAGACGAAAGAATTCTATGGAAGAAAACTACATATATAGAGCATTAAAGGAACACGAAAAATAACAAGCTAAGGTCAATAACGACGCAAATCAACCAGGATTTAGTTGGTTTCATATCTCAAGAACAAGCAACTCACCACATTCAAGATAGACTGAGCTTCTTTACGTAGAATTGAAAAATTAGCATGAGCAAGTTCGGCCTGGTCCTTGTCAATCTGTAAAGCAGAGAATTATGTTTTGATCTTCAAGAGAAACTAGTGGAAGTTTGAGAAGTGTTTATGCACCAAAGCACTAAGTTGACAACCTTTTGTAAATCTACATCCTCTCCATCTTGCTCATTTTGAAGTAAAACTTGCAGAATCGTTGTTGGAACGTCCGGATCCAGCATATTTTGACAATACTGAAGGTAGCTGAGAAGCAAAGCATATTGGCTGTAGATAGATGCAAAAGCTTAACATTAGATTCCAACTCATAAGCCACACAGCCAATACCAGCAAAAGTTATATTAACCACACCGTCTCCTCAAAGCTTCTGATGATTCATTTCTAAGAATTGCCATGATGAGCTTTAGTAAAATAGAGTGACATGCTCCATTAGATATTTGCTTCACCATGATAATATCAAGACAAGAGACACTATCAGCATTTAAACCACCAGGAGATGAATATCTTTCATCCCTTAGCTTGGCCATGCATGTCAGTGCAACCTGTAAAAGGGCATCAGCAACTAGGATAATTGAAAGATGTAGAAAGTTAAACACTAGCAATGGGGAAGGATGAACAAACCTGACATAAAAGATATGCCATCTTCAAAGAACAATCTGGAGAAGCAGAAGCGCTCAAGGAAGCATCAAGAACTCTGTTCACAACAATGAACTGTTAAAAATGTGAAAAGCAGGAAGAAAGAACAAGGTATAGATATGAACATACTGAAATAGAATATCGGATCTATTTTCAAGTGATGAAATTCTTCTGGACACAGTAACCTATAAAAGCAAACTGTTTATCATTAGAAACTATTGAAAACATAATGTTAAAATCTAAACTAAAAGAAGCATGCAACTAACACAAATAGAGGAAAGAACGATAAACCTCGATGGTTTGTGACCAGCTAGTTAACATATGAAGTTGTGCAGCCTGTTCCTCGAGATTTTTGTTGTACTTCCATCCCCATCGTAGAAACTGTTGAATCGTCTCTTTTACTTCTTCCAGCTCAGCTTCCCTCCCAACGTTATTCAGTTGGGGATTATCAGCATTAAATTTCTGAAACAAATGAACATATTTTTGAAGTTTGTCATTTTTTAATCAAAAGAAGATACTGATGTTGTCCTTCACCAACCTGCCAAAGTTTATCACAAAAGGAAGTAAGGTCAATCAGGCGATCGCCACGCTCTGAATAATGGTAGATCCCACCCTTTTGCGAAGTTGAAGGATTCCCAAGTATGTCCTTTGTCTATAAAACAAGAATAAGAACAGTGTCCAATGCCAAGAATCTAACGACCCAGATACACCGCTAGCAGATATTGTCCTCTTTGGGAGCCCTTTCGGGCTCGCCCTCAAGGCTTTAAAATGCGTCTGCTAGGGGAAGGTTTCCACACCCTTATAAATGGTGGTTTGTTCTCCTCCCCAACCAATGTGGGGCATCACAAAGAATGCAAAGGAAAAACAAGGAAACCAGCATGTTAGAACATACCAGCAATTCGTACTTCAAATTCGAAACAATTTGGGGAAGCTTGATTGAGGTGTCGGGAGTTCGGAACTGAACAACCTCAAGTAGCTCCAACGCCTGGACGCAAAAAATTCAGGAAAAAAATTATTTAAAAGATAACTCAAGTCAACCCAATATTGCTTCAAAAGTTGAACCTAGTTACAAGAAAATGGTCAATTTCATTTGTGTCATAATCATGGGCAGTAACATCTACAGGGCAACAATGCGAAAAAATTAGCTTAACAAAAAGAAGAGAACTGTCCACTTACTGTACATAAGAAGATAAAACGTCAATCTCGAATAAAGTACCTTGCTCTTACTCATAGTTCTAGTTCCAGGATCCACCACATGATGTTGAAGTGAGAAGACTGGAACTGATCCAACATCTATTTCCTGCCCGTACAGGTGCGCAAGAATACTCTGACATGCCTCTCGATGGATCGGGCTACTCAAGTCAGCAGCATGCAACTCAATTGCTAGAAGCTTAAGCAACCATGCTCTCTTGAACAAAGAAAAATAAATAGTCACGTCTCCAGATCTTAATGGTAAATGGTCAATTAGAAAATGCAGGAAAAATACAAATTGCAAAGCATGGGCATGGTTAAGAAGTACAGCTATTCATCACAGAAAGACAAACCTGATGAAGGGAGCTGACACGAAGAGTGTGGTTGTTTCTCTTGGGAAGAGGAACAACTCCAATTGTATCCAAGTGCTGCCATTACAAGCATGAAGAAGGTATCAAGGATGGAAGGTTGGGTGGAAAATATACAACAAGTGAATAGAACTTAAGCAAATGAGACATTACGATCAACAGAATCTTTTTTTGTTAAAAATGTGACAATTTTGGCTTTATCATGCAAGCCCCAAACAGAGCAGAAGATCTTTCCATACGCAGAAGCAGGTGTTCATACCTTAACGAAGAAATAGTACTTCTTGTTGCTCAAGAGATCCATGACTGGTCCAGATGTTAGGGGATCTAAGCATAGCTCATAAAGAAGCTGTAAAAGAAAATCACTTTAGACTTATGACAAAGGGTTCGGGGGCGGGGTGAGTGTGAAAGGACAACGGAAAAAAAGACAGTACGCTAAAGCTGTTACATCCCCCTGATTAGAAATACATAATCCACAACATCTAACCTGAAAACCAAACTCAAAAAGTAAGGCATTGACTTCAGGATTTGAAAGCTTCTCTAAAATCTCCAGAACAACCTTCAAGCAACTACAAAGGAAAGTACAACTAATATAGTACAGTGACTTAACAATGCAAAAGTGAACAAAATATCTTAGCTTGTTATAAAATCACCTATAATGAAATTTTGGCTGTAAAATTGTCCGCTCGATGGATGTCTCAAGGTTAAATTTAAGTAGCAAGTGTGTAACATTTGGAGCAGGTCGGCTAATGTTGTCAATAAGAAGCTGCAGAAATGGGCATATAAATGATGATGTGTGATCCGTTAATTAGTTAGCATTGAAGGAGCAAGGTGCAGAAAGAACCAGACTCCGAAGGTTTCGGGTATCAAAGAATAAGAAATCAAACTTGAGATTACAAAAATGGAAAAACAAACCTGCATTATAAGAACACCAGGATCATCTCCACTGTTTTCAATTACATGACACTCTTCAGATCTTAACTCGAGGCAGGACGCATAATCCTCAACTAAAGAGCTGGCAGTATTAGATTTTAGTAGTAATTGCACGAGCCCAACCATACGAGAACTACAACCAACAAATAACATCTTTAGAAAATCACAAATTATTCTATGTTTTCATATTGAATGTCACAAAATGGAAATAGAGAAAAAGAAGATGGAAGTGCCTTAAGATACTCATGATTTTGATAGATAACTGCTGAATCTTGGGATGAAAATCATATCTGACATACTCCAACAGCGCAACAATTTGACTGTGATCTTGAGAGAGGATAACTTCCAAGGGCTGCAAGAATTAGGTCAAATCCAGAAGCAATTTATCATCTCAGTGGACATAAAGAGTACCAGAAATACATCTGAAGATATGTACATGATCAAACTACAGGTTCAGGTTTTCCAATGCATATAAACACAGAAGCGTAATGCGGTAAAAACAAAATTAATTGTCATTTATTAAATACTTGGTTCCGGAGCCATTTAGAAGTCATAGTTAACGGAACCGGATGAGCCACATACACAACGAAATGAAACTAGACAACTTGGCCTATATCATTTTTTCCATAACTTTCTATTTCTATATTTTAGTCTTCAATGAAAAATTATTTGTGGTCTTATCCACCAATTCGCTAATTCATACGCGTAAATAAACGGAGGTTAACAACAGCAACAGATGAGACAATTACCTGATATAGAGGGCGCCAGTAATCAGCCAGAAGTAAATCCTTCTCTAATACAAGTATCATTATTTCAAGAGAAAGCTCCACAGACTTCTCCAAAAGTTGGCCATAAATTTGGCTGGTCCTTTCGGTTATGAGAGAATTGACACCGGGCAGAAGAATCCCCATGATGTTTCTAAAAACAGATTTTCCGCTCATGAAATCCTAACCAACAAAAAGAAAACTTCAAGACATTTCCGCAGAAATTGGAATACAAGCAAACATAATATCCAGGAACTGAAAGATATCATGTGGTACCATCGAGCCAACGAAATGCTGACTTAAACAATCAAAGACTTTGACGAGAAAAACGATAAAAGTCCCGCAATGCTTTTTAGAAACCTATTTCAAACATAGACAAAAAAGGCTTCTACCAAGAAACTCTTTGAAATTTTAAACCAATGAGTCATTGTGTATGAACCCTTCTCATAATTTGTTCCTCTAAATTCATTGACTCCACAACAGAAATTGTTGGTGAAATATGTAATAAATATCATCATGCCATGACTCATTGTGTATGAATAAAAACACACTTCTATCAATAGAAAACAATCAAAAGGAACTCTTTGACATATGGATCAAATGAAGTAATAGTAATAGATACATACTTTTAGCAACTCAAGTACTGGTAGCTGAGTTTGAAGTGAAGATGATTGTGTATCCATTGATGATTGTGATCGATCAATAACAACGTCAACGTCCTCTTCATTAATGTCATACATTTTCAAAATCCTGCACATTGAGCAATCAAATGTGCATTTTTAATTTGATTAACCCCATAATTGTAAGGTTTTTCAAGAAGAAAATCCAAGCCTTCATCACCATCGAGAAAAATGAAAGAATACATAGGATCATACAAAAATCTTTGGACACCAATCTCCAAAGAGAGACAAGAAGCAGGGAGGACAACAAGGAAAGCCCATAAACACAAGCAAAATCTTCAACTTTGAAGTTTAAACCCACACTATCACTCACATATTAAAATGTTGTAGGCAAGCAACAACTAACTGCCATTTCTCAGCAGCATCCGCATAGGCTCGTTGAGGGAATGGCCCAAAAACATGATCATAAATGAACCTAAATATTCCAACAAATCTGCAGCAAAACTTTCAAACCTTAGAATAAATAATAAAACCGAGTCAAGTGTATATTATAACCAATAAACATTACCTACGCCCTCTATCACTTAGATCACTTTCTTTAGCAATAAGAGCATTTAACAGGTTAAGGAAAGATATGGTTGATGGATATCTCTCCTGTCTTGCTTCAATTTCATTTACCTCGAACTGCATATCATAAACCTGCAAAGACACGGTGCTTTCATAAACCAACATCTTTTCTTCACGTGTAATCTCAGTGCAACAAGGTTCCATCACTAAAATTATCATGTTTGAAAATGCCAACAAACACGGTGCTTATATAAGCCAATATCCGTTTTTTTTTTTCATCAAATGCAAAACAGTGCATCTTTATTTTGTCGGTTATTCGACACAGGACAACTCATTAGCATATTGAAATCACTATCATGCCAGTGCCACACTTTCAATTTACATTAAGTGAATATAAGCATGCTAAATATCCACGCTAGCAACAAAAATCTCCTAGTTGCAGCTCAAAAAAAAAACAATTTCAAAACTAAAAACGATAGAATATTTTACATATCTAAAAGGGTCATCAGAGATGAATAACCTGAGAAGTAATCGACTTTGTGCCATTCTGAATATGGGATGCAACAAGAACAGGTAAATCATACTGCTCAAGATAGCACCAAATGATATCCTTCAAGTCAGAAGAGACTTGAATGAAGGATGCGATTGCGTTCCTCAAAGCACCCTATGATATCAAAAACTTGATCAAAATCATCAACGAAATTCTCATTGAAGCATCTAAATTCCAAAAAATATAAGAAATCTTGTGCAAACATATTTTTTACTCAAAACACAACAAACCAAAGTGCAATAACCTTCAGATAAGGAGGAACATTTTCATAGCTAAGAAGTTTGAACAGTGGTTCAATATCAGGAAACCAGTTCTTTCTTTCAACAGGATTCCCATTCTCCACAACCTGTATCTCATCAGAAACCAACCAACAATGATGATCAGTAAGAAACAACGAAATTTATTCCATAATCTATTTGAATCATTCTTTAGGTGTAGTTCTTTTGGATTGGAGCCTTCAATTGTAACAACTAAAATACTTTGGGGGGTGATTTGCGCAATTTGTACTCAAAAATTGACATATAGATTTCAACTAGGATTTACCATGAAAAGTTATTATTGCTATAGAACTATTTGCCTGCTCATTTTGTTTTTACTAATAATATTAAGGTCTTAATCCCTTTCAATTCAGACTTCTTCTCCGTGACTATTACTTTTGTGGACCTGTTGTTGCGTGCTACTTGCTAGACAACCATACTAATGATAGATAATATGCTAGACAACCATACTAATGATAGATAATTATGCAAGATAACCATTCTAATGACAGACAGCTAGTCTAGCAAGTAGAATGCAGATGAAGCTCCACAAAAAATCGTCATAGATTAAGAAAAACTTTACAATCTCATGAAAGTGTGGGTAACTGAATAAAAGTTTAAGACCAATATAGTAAGAAAAAGGTATTACCTTTTGAAGAACATTCAAATACGCAACAAGCGCTTTTGCATCCCCTTCCTGAAACTCTGGTAACAGGGCCCCAGCAGTCTGAAGGGACTGTCTAAATTTTTCATCATAAATTGATAGGCAATCAAATAAGGTGGTCCATCCAACAGATCGGAATGCTTTTCCCTGAAGTAACTCAAAAACCCTTGAAGCACCCTCTTCATTACAAGCCTGAAATGATTGATAAAAGACAATAATTAATAGTAAAGTACATTCTCGTGAAAAGAATTGGTGAGCAGCTTAATAATTAAAAAGTCTTAAAAGAGCGTGCATCACATACTAAGGTACTCAGCATGTTCAAGAATGCCACCAAAGTTTGAAAATTTGTATGATCCTCCCCAGCGAAATTTGCAAATGTCCACAAGACATCATTGCTTGATAACAGTTCTGGTTCTTTCTGAATAAATTGAAAGAAATTCAAGCTCAATAATCATAGCTAATTCATATGCAGCATATGTGATTTATTAGCTACTTTCACGAAGAACATTTAGCACCATTCTAAATTTCTTGCTATAGCAAGTTATTTTGAGTTGGATCTATAGTAGCATGGACCTAATAGTTGCTAAGGAGTTAATTCCATGACTACACATGAAATATTTTCTTTCTAAAAATATCAAACCACCAGCTTGTCACCTATTTAACTCTTATCTTATCAGCATCTCAAAACTTTCAAGTACTTCAATAAAAGCTTACCCGGTAAATTTCACTAACAAAGTTCAAGAGGGAGACAAAAGGTGAAGGAAGAGTTTCGCTAGCTTGATGGGAACTTGAATCACCATCATGCATGAAATCTTGTGACCCGGTAGCACGAAACTGACTTAGCGTGTTCATAGCTCGGTCCTTTGACTCTTTCACCTTCATACCATAAAAAAACCAATCAAATTTATTAATACATACTTTCAGTTAGATCCAACTGCAATGAGGCAAGGCTAGAAACCCATACTAATATGAAGCCATGTATGTTGTATTTGTAAGTAGACTTGGAAAATATAGTAAAAGAAGCATTTGTGCTCTTCTTTAGCCAATGGCTAAGTTTCTTTGCAATTCTACGTAGTTTAGATTGCATGTAGAATCATTCAAGCTCGACATGATCAATCTTGCTTGTAGAGTGATTCGAATCTCAATCAAGTGTTCTTGCCTTGAGATATTTGATCAACAAGAATCATTCAGGCTAGACATGATCGATCTTGCTTGTGGAGTGATTCAAATCTCAAACAATATTCTTGCCTTGAGATATTCGATCGACAAGGTAATCCGAATCTTACTCCCCTTGTAGTGATTTCCACATATCACATACACTAGCAGGCAAGGCTAGAAACCCATACACTAGCTCATTCACTTGCTAGATAATAAATTGTTTTAATTCTAACCTGTACAGGTCTGATATTTATATATATATATATATATATATATATATGAAGCACTTAACAAAGGAGTGAGCCAATGGCCAAAATTAAACAAGAAAGCTATAAATTTTAGGAGGAAATCTCCCGACTGACCTTGTCCCTAGCCAGAGGATGAGATAAAAAACAAGAAACCAGTTTGTGCAGATAAGCATTGTACATATAGGTCATGTCCTCATCATCATTCTGCCAACATAACCAATAGAAGATATTAGAAGACAAAATAATCTAACTTGTACAAATGACTACTAAAGAAGGCACGGTCAAAAATATAAACGACTTAGTTTTTTCAAAAGAGACAACAAGGATTGTAAATTACTCACTTATTCTAAGGTTATCAAATACAGAGCTAGAACTCCCCAGACCTTATAGGATATTTCTAATTGTCTCTAGCCCTTACCACCGACACCCATTAGGAATAAATATACGTAACAAGTAGTAGCACCTAATAACTTCACGTCCATAGGCAAACAAACTGTTTTCAATTAAAAAGAGTTGAGGGATCTCCCACAAGCATTGGTGAAACATCAAGGGGAAAAAGAAGACAAAACAAAGTACTTGCAACAAGATAAGAATGTCGGGGCAAATATACTTTAAGAATTCCAAAAGAAAATGTTCTGCTGCCTATAAGATGCATAACTTCTTGAAAGATACAAACCTGGTAAGCCGCAGTCTGAATAACTTCTTGAAGCATGAACTGGAAAGCATTATGGGAGAAAATAACTTCCAAGCACGATTGTAGGTGATCTAAATCTTTTGGGGAAGCACTGGGAACAGCTTCTCTTGCATCAACCATGTCGTGTATTAACAGCAAATGAACAGTCCAAGCAAACCTAACAGCATCAACAAATCCTTCCACTGTGGGATTATTTCCAGACACCATCACCTATACAAAGATTACAAGCTCGTTTAAAATGTTAACAAAATGTGTGCGTGTATCAAAAACCTAACCACAGAAGTTTCAGTACTATCTTGATAAACTCACGGTATCCTGAAATTCATTTCTAAAAGAAGCATCACTGGACAATATAGATGCTTTATTTGGAACAGCGCTCAAAGCATCCGATACAAAGGCAATAATGATCGAGAAAAGGAGACTAAATACAATCTGCAAAAGAAAATACATTCAGAATTAGCAAGAAAAGTAATGAAGGACAGAACAAGAAAATGTCTCTAGAAGAATATACACATACAACACTGGTGTGCACCCACATTACTTCTGAGAGACAGGAAACAAGTGGGTCTTTTCTTTACATTCTACAGTAATCAAAATATTAATAACATGCCTGAAGCTTTATGGGAGTTTTGGTCTCATTAAGCTCAGCAGCGCAGTCTTTTAAAACAGAAAAGAGATCCCTCACATCCTTTGGACCTGATAAAAGAGAAATCATGGAGCTGTCAGATTATTAACTGGAGTTTCTTGCCATATTACTTGCAGTATATTTTCCATTAATTAACCTGTGTTTCTCACAATTGAAAACTTTCAAATGTTTTCCAATAATAAATTTATGTTTCTTATCATTAAAGATTAATTACCAAGGAGAAGTTATCATTTCACACATTTTTAACTAAGTTTCATTCACTAGAAAAATATAAAATGCACTATCAAATCATCTAAACTAAAGCTCTACGTCTAACGTCAGCAAGTATCCAATAACAATGACTACCTCGATGGAGGAAAAAAATACATCTTGAACTATCAAATATTACTAGCAAGCACCACATGAAGCAAGACAGTGAATCGTAGCAGCACACATAGGAAACCTTCAACCTACTACCAATGGCATTGATCAATTAAAAAAAGTCCTCCACGGCTTACCTATTCGAACAACAAGAATAGAAAGGACAAGACAATGTCCTAGTATAAGTCTTTCCCGACAAACCACAGCCCGACGCTCAACAAGAGCACCTCTGGAATCAAGAATGTAGCGCTCACAGCTAGGTCCACCCAAACCAGCTGGTTCTTCTCGATTGAGTTCCTAAAACAAGAAAGATGGAACCTTTTACTGAAAATAGTCATGGAAATACTTGTTCCTAATGGTCAGCCATTATGCGTTCACAATTAATCCTAGACACTTGAAGCATATCGATTTCTTATTTTCAGTTGTAATGTTTGGGCTAACAACCATGTGTTTCTGTATCTCACAAGATTAATACGAAACAAAATATTCATACGGTCAAGTGTTAAAAGATCACAAAATACAGGCAAATTCAATAAATTTAAATACTAAGCTACTGTTATAACATAGTAGTAACAGTAACATGATTCCAACCTTCAGCAGAAGGTTTACACATATGGCATGACCTAAAATAGGGACTACAAAGATCCAACCTTTATCAAAGAAATCAATCGTTGTCGTAGGCCACTATTAATAAGATCTTCCAGGTGTCTTTGGATGTCAGATACAAGACCAGCTTCAAGCCCCTGATCAAGTACAACAGCCTGCAAAGAAAAGAATATAATTAACAGTATGCAAGAAAAAACACAATTGCATGTCCAAAAATTAGGATACAAACAAAATGATAATATTAATACCCTTAGTAGTGTATAGAGTGACATTATTAGATCTCTTCTCTCTGTATACCAAAGCCCTGCTGCAAGGTGGAAAATCTCTGAAGGATCTCGTCCCATTAAAGCCCACTGCAAAGAACAAGAAAAACAAGTTATAGAAAGGGAGACAAATAAAGCTGATGTAAAATATGATAACAAGTAAACAAATAAGGGAGAGAGGTATACCTCTTGATGTGCAGCAACAAGTAGATGCACGCATTCTATTTCATTCAGATGGAGGTCATCACTCAACTTTAAAGTCTACAAACAAGCGTGGAAGTGAAATCAAATAACGCCAATATAACAGTCATGTCGTGCCATAACGAAAAACGGGAAAGAATTTATGGTTCATATCATTCATAACTTGGACGAATAAAGCAATACATAAAAATATAGCCACAATGATACACCAATCTAAGGATGAACAGGGTCAAAGACTACTTCTTGATTCTCCCACCAAACCGAAGCAGAAGAAACAGAGGAAGAAGGTTAACTACTTAAACTAGTATCTTAAGCTGTCGTCGTGCAAAAAATAAGCAACCAAATCAACATTCCATGAAAACCCACGTCACATACTCAAATTCTGATCGACATCCCGGAAAAGAAAACAAATGGACAAAGAATTTACAATTACGACGTCTTGATCATCGAGCGTTATCGTTGAAGAATCCGGCCGCCTGACTTCTTTAGATTGAACTTGTGCACGGTCTGAAGCTTTCGGCGACTACAACCCAAAATTCAACAAAATCAGGACACCAACAGACAAATACAAGGTACTAAATCACAAAATGTCACAGACCCAGATCAGCAAACGACGAAATACAAAGGCATACGTACTGGGAATTGAAGAAGCGAACGAAAAGCAGGCATAGAATTGTGAATGGCGTGTAAGAGCTCGACCCTCTGCGATGGGGACGGAGGGGACGGACCCAGAAGCGCGGACTCGATAATGCGGAGGCTCTGCTTGGAGGACAACATGGCGGCGCACTGTGAGTGGCAAAATGAAGGTGCCGCCGAAAGGGGAAGAGGGAAGATGGGGCAACGAAGGTGGAGCGCGGGAAAATGGAGGGTGGTTTTAGAGACGCAGAACTGTTCGATAAACCCTGCTCATATGCCCTAGTAGGTGTTATTATTTATGCCCAGTGGGTTTTTTGTTGGAAGGTGAAAACAAGCAAAAGAGGCGCCATGACTTTCTATGGAAATAAAGACGGCTGTGTGCTTGCTTCCTTTTGAAATGGCAGAGCACTTCAAAGCTCGAAAGCTCGAGCATGTTTTTTTAAGGGATACTCGTGCAAGTAGGCTCCTGTAAAATCTCACATAAGTTGGATAGTGAAACGAAACACTGTTTATAAGGGTGTGAAAACTCCTCCCTAACAAACATGTTTCAAAATTGAAAAGTTGACGGCGATACGCAACAAGCTAAAAGTGGATAATATCTGCTAGCGGTAGGTTTGTCGTGTTACAAATGGCATTAGAACCAGACACTGGGGGTGTACGCTAACAAGGACGCTGACCCCCAAGGGAGTGTGGATCAGAGCCAGACACTGGGGTGTGCGCTAACGAAGATGCTGACCCCCAAGGAGTGTGGATTAGAGCCAGACACTGGGGTGTGCGCTAACGAAGATGCTGACCCCCAAGGAGTGTGGATTAGAGCCAGACACTGGGGTGTGCGCTAACGAAGATGCTGACCCCCAAGGAATGTGGATCAGAGCCAGATATTAGGGTGTGTGCTAACGAGATGCTGACCCCCAAGGAGTGTGGATCAGAGCCAAACACTGGAGTGTGCGCTAACGGACGCTGACTCTCAAGGAGTATGAATTGTGAAATTCCATATTGGTTGGAGAAAATATCGAAACATTTTTTGTAGGATGTGAAAACCTCTCTCTAGCAAACACGTTTTATAACCGTGAGGCTGTTCGACTATACGTAACGGGCCAAAACGGACAATATCTACTAGTAGTAAGTTTAGACGGTTACAACTCTCCCGTCCTACCCTTCATTTTTATGCATACATGCATACATGGAACTTGTTTTTACATTCATATTGATTAGTTTATATTAGGTCTCCCATTTAGTTCAAGAACTTAGGTTCTAAGCTATCCTTTCAATGGATGGAAAGTTTAAATTTTATTGAACTACATAATTATTGTACTTCAATATAAGAATAATAGCCAAAGCATGTTTTCCAGAAAGGTAGTTAGACTTTCCCTTCCCAGTAGCTTTTCTATCTGATCTCTGCTGTTAACTGTACACTCTCCCGCCCGTTCCGGCATCGACATCGAGCCACCCGTGCTGCTACACACAATGCGTAGTCTCAAAATGAGGCGCGGTTATCAAACCATTGATCAAATGTGTCAACCTTTCAGCACCAGGTCCTGGCCTAAGATCAGTAGTGTTCGTTATGTCCTGCATACTCAAAGTACTGCTATTTCCAAATGAATCAAACCAGCTGCCAGGAAAGTATCCATCAGCATTGCAACCCAACAAGTCGGAGTCGATCTTGTCAAGGACGGGATCATCGTGGCCGAACTTCCGAGCAAACGGTGCATTGCTATCTGCCATACTTTGGAAGTCATCAAGGTTGAGAAAATGGGGATGTTGCTTTGGAGGATTGTCCCATGAGATGAAATGCAGGTCGTGGTTGACTGTCGTGTTGCGAAACTCGTCGGCGTTGCAAATGACCGTGTGGAAATAGCCCTCCGGAGACGAGAGGAAGTTGGCATAATACATAAGGACTACTCTTGGGAGATTGTCCCATCCCCATAAACAGTATTCCATGAAGGGACGAGACAGCATCATCCATGCAGAACCTAATGAATTTGAATATCAATCAGACAGTGCTACTAGATATAAACAACAGCCCACAAGATTCAAATATGTACACAGTCAGCTCAGAGTTGGTAAAGACCATAAAATATATCGTTTTCGTTTCCGAACTACGAAGCGAGTGATTTTGGTATGGCTAAAATCACTTATGTCACGCCCTTGGACATGATAAAAGTGATTGTCGTCATTTCAAAATTACTCTCGAACTTGCCCTTATTAAACAGATGATATGAACCGAGATCGCTCACCTGTGAACAGTTTATACGCCGTTGGAACGCTCCGTTTCTCCGAGACCCAAAACACATCTGATTTATGAAGGCTGTACAAACCTGGATCAATTATAACCGGTTTGGCTCTCTGGTACCTGAGATCAAAAGAATTCACATTTACATCTCTATCAGTTCAGAAACCTACAGAGCTCAAGCTTGTTGGATAAACTTTGCAGTATCTAATGAATTTATTAGTTATGTTGAAGAAGAAGTGCATACTCCTTCCATCCAATGTCACTGGTATGCTCAATGAAGTTCAGGGTTCTTGGAATGGATATCAAAGTGTGAAGCAGATCTGTGGTATAAGAGAAGGAAGCACAAGAATTTGCATCAGAAACTAATTTGTATACGTCTCTTTCTTCAAGCTATACCTATCAGAAGTAGAAGCGAAGAAACTAAATTAAACTTCTCAATCAGACCCAACAAACGTTGGACAAATGTCTTTGGTTGCAAGCAAATTTAGAAATAACGTGGCACCCATCGCTAGCAGATATCATCCACTTCGGCTCATTACGTTTTTAAAATGTGTCTACTAGGGAGAGATTTTCAGACCCTTGTAAGGAATGTTTCGTTTCCCTCTCCAACCGATGTGGGATCTCACAATCCACCCCTCTTGGGGACGCAACGCCCTCACTAGCACGACGCCCGGTATCTAGTTCTAATACTATTTGTAATAGCTCAAGCCCACCGCTAGCAGATATTGTCTGTTTTTGCCCATTACGTATCGTCGTCGGTCTCACGATTTTTAAATGCGTCTACTAGGAAGAGGTTTCCACACTCTTATAAGAAATGTTTCGTTCCCCACTCCAACCGATGTGGGATCTCATAGTCCACCCCTCTTGAGGGTCCAACGTCCTCGCTGGCACACCGCCCAGTATCTAGTTCTAATACCATTTGTAACAGTCCAAGCTCACCGCTAGCAAATATTGTCCGTTTTGGCCCGTTATGTATCGCCGTCAGCCTCACAGTTTTCAAAACACGTCTACTAGGGAGAGGTTTCCACACTCTTATAAGGAATGTTTCGTTTCTCTCTCCAACCACGTGGGATCTCACATGTTTCCTTATCGCAATCCTTCATGGCTCTTAAATCTTCAGGCTAGTAGTTACTTTCAAGTTGAATCTTTTGTAAAGTGTCAATGTGGAAGATCAACAAACCCCCATGAAGGAACTAAAAGATTTCAGGACGACATTAATGCAATTCCACTCTTAGAAATGACCAACTGTGACAAATTCTTACACAGCAAAGAAAGAAAGAAGGTAGATACAAAAAACAGAAACCAACAGTTATTAGTCTCATTAATTAAACTTCATAAATGTCCACCCTAAAAAGCCAAACTTATTAATCTCATCACGTTCTTAGTACAATAATAGCCGAGCTCACCGCTTTAGCCTCTTACGTATTGCTTGTCTCATAGTTTTAAAACGCGTCTGCTAGGGAGAGGTTTCCACACTCTTATAAGGAATACTCCGTTCCCCTCTCCAACCAATGTGGATCTCACAATCCATCCCTTTGAGACCCAGCGTCTCCGCTGGCACACTGCTCGATGTCTGGCTCTAATACCGCTTGTAACAGTCTAAGGCCACCACTAGCAAATTGTCCGCTTTGACCCTGTAATAGAGATCTCACATTGGTTGGAGAGGGGAACGAAACATTCCAAGAGTGTGGAAACCTCTCCCTAGCATAGGTGTTTTAAAAATATGAGGCGGACGACAATATGTAACGGGTCAAAGCAGACAATATCTACTAGCGGTGGGCTTAGACTGTAACAACAACCATGACCAACATGACCAACACATCCACAAGGATCCTTAGTAAATCTAGTATAATCCATAACTATAGATTGAGCAAAATGGTGAAATCAGCTAGAATCTCAGAACATGAACAACAGAACTAGAAAGAAGAAGCTGGGAAAGTAACTAAACTAAGAACAGAACATGTCAAATGCTCAAATCCTAATCCCCTCATTTCTTTCAGAGAAGGGAAACAAATTTGATAAAGCTGAGCCCACCACAATTAGAAACAGCATCAACAGCAGGATCATGATGATTAGCAATGAAGAAGTTGAAATAACATACAAAAGAAACAAACCAACGTGCTTATATGAATTATTGGGTGCTGAAATTAGACTAAATACATACCATCTTGAGTGACCAGAGGGTAATCAGAAGCACTGAGATTAATAAACCAGTCCCAGTCTCCACCGTCCTTGAGCAGGATCGCCGCCGCGTGAAGCGTATTAGTGACCATCGTTGGCCCTCTATAAGTAACCAAATTCGCCCTCAAAACCATCCTCACATTACCCACACTCTTAAAAACCGGTTCATTCTTCACAAAATTAGCCAATTCCAGCCGTTCCGCCGCCGGAGCCTCCAAGTCCAAATGTACCGCGTATTGATTCCTCGGATGATACAGAGCCTTAAGAGCTCTCATCAAGCTCTTCCCATCGCCGGTGGAGCCAGAGATCAAGTAAGCCAAACGAGGAACAGGATCGGATGAAATTTTCGAGATCGTAAGCTTCGATTCAACAAAACGGGGAATCGGATTCTTCAAATGAACACGGTGTAGTTGGGAAGAGGAGAAATGAGGCGAAGTAAAAATCGAAACAAAAACCACCAATGTAGTCAGAAGCAAAGAAAACACCAAGGGAATGAACCATTTCCTCTTCTTCGGTAACTTATTGCTCGTCTCCATTAACAGACCTCAACAAAAACCAGCAAAAACACAACAATGGCGGAAAAATTGGATCAAATGATCCACGGCGGGAAGAAAGCGGAACGCAAATGGAGACGCGCAAGTAGATTAGTGGATTGTGAGGTAATAATTATCATTAGTGGGCATATCACTGCAAAGGGAAAAGGAGGAGAAATGACAGGAAGAGAGAGAGAGAGAGTGAATGTTTGATTCTTCGACCACCAGAATTCACCTCCGCCATTTTTGCTTCCTCGAGGTTCGAGATGAAGTGGAGAACTACTAATTAAGGTAGATTTAGATTTTGGTTTGGTTAATTTTCGTTAACTGTGTTTTTTTAGTATATTTAATCATTAATAATATCCCACGTGTACGGACTTATTTGTATTAAATTGCAATTTTTTTCAATTATAAAAAAAAAAAGTTTTTATTTTAGGGGTAAAAGTCTTATTTATTCGTTTTTTCATTTTTTTATAGAAATATTTAAAAAATGAAATAAATATTTAATTTTTTTCACTTATATATATATATATATATATATTTTTTTTATATTTATTTATTTATTTTAATTATGTTTAAATTTATTAATTTGTTTGTGATGCGAAATTTTGTTGAAAATATTAATTTTTTTTTAAAGTAAAAAATATAATGAGTTAAAATGTGTCAGTTGGTGTTAATAATTTATGGAAATTAAAGGCTGTGCTGATTGGTTAGGTGAGCATGTTATCTTGCCAAATGATGTATTAAAAGCTTCCTACCTGCATTTTGTCGGCAACATGCCCTCTCTCAATGTTTTTATTTATTTTTTTATTTACGCTCCAAATCCACCGCTCCCAGATATTGTTCTCCTTAGGCTTTTCCTTTCGGACTTCCTCTCAAGCCTACGTGTTTGCTAAGTGAAGGTTTCCACACCCTTATAAATGGTGGTTTGTTATCCTCCCCAACCAATGTGAGACATTACAATCCACCCCCTTCGGGACCTAGTGTCCTCGCTAGCACTCTTTCCTTCCTCCAATCAATGTGGGACCGCTCCCAAATCCACCCCTTTTGGGGCCCAGCGTCTTTACTAGCACACCGCCTCGTGTCTGTCTCCTTCGAGGAACAGCGAGAAGGCTAGCACATCGTCCGGTGTCTGGCTCTGATACCATTTGTAACGCCCCAGATCCATCGCTAGCAAATATTGTCCTCTTTGGGCTTTTTCTTTCAGACTTCTCTTCAAGGCTTTAAAATGCATCTGTTAGGGGAAGGTTTCCACACCCTTATAAATACCTATAGATGGTGGTTTGTTCTCCTCCCCAACTAATGTGGGGACATCACATGTTGTCTATGACTAATGTAAAAGTAAGGAGAGAATTTTGGTGGGTTATCTAAGACATAAATTATTTATTGATACATACATACATATAAATAAATAAATAAATAAATATTTTTTTTGATGTACTGATATTAAAATTTAGATTTTTAGAAATTATATCCAATGTTATATTATATTTTTATTTTTGTTTATGAAATATTATTGATTTTATTAGAAATATAAATTATTCATTAATATATATATAAATAAATAAATAAATGGAGAATTTATCTAGTGGACAGTAGGCCCGTTATCGTGTGGACAAACGAACAAAAAACAAGAAAAGCCCATTTGACTCGGCCCATATAAGCCCATTTGATTCGGCCCATAGAAGCCCGTTTTTTAAGCCCAATCTATCATCTGAGATTCTCGTCAAAAGCCAATCAGTTTTTCACCATTTCCTTCCCGAAGTTCCTTTCCATTAGTTTTCGATCTGAGATCTTTCAGTCTGATCGGAAATGGGGAAAGGCGGAGCAATCTCCGAGGATGTTCTGAAGAAAGTCCTCCTCTCGTATGCCTACGTCGCGATATGGATCTTCCTCAGCTTCTCCGTCATCGTTTACAACAAGTTCATTCTGGATCAGAAGATGTACAATTGGCCTTTCCCGATCTCCCTCACCATGATTCACATGGCCTTCTGTTCATCGATCGCGTACCTTCTTGTTAGCGTTTTCAAAGTTGTGGAGCCAGTTTCCATGTCCCGTGAGCTCTACCTCAAATCCGTGGTTCCGATCGGAGCTCTGTATTCGCTTTCCCTTTGGTTTTCTAATTCAGCATATATCTATCTATCGGTTTCTTTTATTCAGATGCTCAAGGCTTTGATGCCGGTCTCTGTGTACCTGATTGGAGTTTCGCTGAAGAAGGAGAAGTTTAAGTCTGATACTATGGCTAATATGGTTTCGATCACGCTTGGTGTTGCAATCGCTGCGTACGGAGAGGCGAGATTCAATTCCAAGGGTGTGACATTGCAGCTGTTGGCGGTTGCGTTCGAGGCGACTCGACTGGTGATGATCCAGATTTTGTTGAATTCCAAGGGTATTTCGTTGAATCCTATCACGTCGCTTTACTATGTGGCTCCGTGTTGCTTGGTTTTCTTGTCTGTCCCGTGGCTAATAATGGAGTATCCTGTGTTGAGAGATACATCCAGCTTCCATTTGGATTTCTTGATTTTTGGGACCAATTCATTCTGTGCTTTTGCTTTGAATCTTGCGGTGTTTTTACTCGTTGGGAAGACATCTGCTTTGACCATGAATGTTGCTGGAGTAGTGAAGGACTGGTTATTGATCGCATTCTCCTGGTCTGTGATTAAGGATACGGTGACGCCCATTAATTTGTTCGGTTATGGCCTTGCGTTCTTAGGAGTTGCGTATTACAATCATTCGAAGTTGCAGGCACTCAAAGCCGCAGAGGGTCAGAGAAAGGCTCAACAGGTAGAAGAGGAAGCTGGTAGGTTATTGGAGGAGAGAGAAGAAGGCGATGAAAGGAAGAACGATAGTCAAACTTAGGCTACCACTGACATGTTTGAGCTTTTACAAGAAGATATGCAGAAGAGAACAGATCGATGATTCAAAAGTTGCTGCAAATATCGAATTCATATCTCGGCTAAATTTTTGAGTTTTGAGTTAGGTATGCTTCTTAGATATATCTATATATATATATTTTTGGTTTCTTCTAATTATTGCGGGGTTGATTTTAGCTGCCTAATATGACTGGAGAATGAATTGTTGTTCATAATGATCATCGGATTGAGCTTCCTGGAGGAAGCTGTCCAGAATGTTTATAACTAATATCTACTATTATTTATGTTCTTCTTTTAGTTTTATTTGGATACCCATTTCTAGCAGACTCACTCCCCACCCCAGAGCACGAGCTGCTGATATTGACTGCAAATTGCGAAGATTACATGTCTAAATCATATGATCATGAACAATACAACATTTGGAGTAGGAAGGTTACATTTCTCCCTAATGCTTTGATTGTTCTTCAGTTGTCTGTTACCTGACAGTGAACTTTAATTTGTAAGTTTTCATCTCTTGCCTTACTGTAGTTTTGAATTCATATTTAAAAGCGATCAAGGGTTCAGCTTTAGAAAATTTAGCATGAGAATATCCGTTGGAATTGGCATCTGCTCAGCCTTATAATGATCCCTAGTCAATTAGGAGTACTCATGAATGTTCCATCCTTTCCTCTGCCCATCCTTATCAATTCACTCTGGAGCAGTGTGGAATACAAGAAGCAAAACAAGCATACCCAAATTCTAGGTTAGTTTAGCTTACTAGCATTTCTAAGCCACAGACCCCCAGTTTTTAGTAGTTGCCATCTCTAGAAGTTGTTTGGGTTTCTGTGGGTTGTACCAATATTGCACAAACTATAGCCCACCAAGAAAAATTGAGGGATCAATATGGACACCCTTAAAAAGGCAAAGTTCTCGTGGTGTGAGAAGTTACATCAGTTGGAGTGGGGAACAAAACATTTTCTTATAAGGGTGTTGAAACCGCTCTTTAGTAATGCCTTATAAAACCTTGAAGGGAAGCCCTTAAAAGGAAAGCTCAAAGAGGGTCGTATCAATTAGTTGTGAGTTTGACTATTACAAATGGTATTAGAGCTAGACACTGAGTAGTGTGCCAACAAAGATGTTGGGTGGGGTGAATTGTGAGATCCCACATCAGTTAGGAGAAGATAACAAAACATTCCTTGTGAACATTCCTTGTAAGGGTGTAGAAACATCTCCCTAATAGAGGAAAAGCCCAAATAGAACAACATTTGCTAGCAGTAGGCTTGAGCGGTTACACGTGGAGATCTACCTACCGCTTTAGCTTGCTTCATCTTGTACAAGGCTTCAGCTGCCATTCCCAATGTTGACAAGATAATAAGAAGGCCTACGGCAATCCTCTGTAGATTTGTAAAACCTGGATGGCTCATGTTATGGCAGGATTCTAATAGTTAAGAAAGAAAGAGCTCTTCCATTCTTTCTCAATCAATGTTTGGTTATTCATGAAAGGAAGATGTCTATAAATTGATTTATAGATAGCTGCCCTTAGAATTAACTGATTTATCAATATTTTTTTTTTACAAGAAACGAGATTAAAATTTCACCAAACGATGATCCTAAAAGGAAAAGGCACCTAACTCTACTTCGTCCTTTGCTCCCTATCTAGTCTTGAGCCACCTAACTCTGTCCTTTGCTCCCTATCTAGTCTTGAGCCACCTAACTCTGTTTCGTTCCTCTTTGCTCCCTATCTAGTCTTGAGCGATCTAGTGCTCTCTCTCTCTCTCTCTCTCTCTCTCTCTCTCTCTTTTTTTCATGATTTGTGATACGTCAATAATTGAACTTTCATTTCACATCTTAAGTATGAACTATCATTTCACATCTTAAGTATTATCAATAATGCTGCAAAAATGCAAAGAGATGATGAACCAATGCTATCTTCAACAGTAAACTCACGAGGATAAAGGTGGTAAAATTAGCATAATAAACCGTGCATTAAAATTGTATGAGTGTTTTGTCCCACTCTTAATGGAAACAAAATTAGAAAAAAGAAAAAAAAAAACTCTCAATATATAGGTCAATACCAAAGATATTCTTTTTCCCTAATTGCACAACAACTTCAGTCAAAGCCTCCAGAGCAGCGACCATGACGATCAAAGAAGCCCATCATACCGAATGCCATATAGAATATAACATTTCAGATCAACAGCTTCTCAATGGCATCCTGCATTTAGAAGAAAAGACACCGAATCAAGAATGGATCGACACTTTACAACGAAGATAGACCAAAAGAAAGAGGTGGTGGCAATTACCTTCAGTTGCTGTATCTGGGATTTCAATTGGCTCCCTTCATTTGTTGTTACAGAACACGCTATTACAGGTCTCGTGACTCCGCATGCTCGGCCAAGAGCTTGCTTTGAAGGGACAAATACATACGGCACATTCTGCATATTTGAAAATAATATCATTGTAAAACTGAGCAATAAGCACTAATTATTTCGGACACATTGTTTTGTTTTACTTAAAAGTCTGGAAAATAGATCATCCTAAACACTCGGTTCTTATAAGGTGTGATCAAACATCTGCATATAAACTATGAATGTGACACACGTGTTACCCTGAAGTTCGTTTAAAAGAAATATAAACTTGATGACCATCAGCAACATGGTCAGTTCTATCCCGACTCACTGAGTGATTAAAGGATAAATTTCATACTTTCACTGAATGATTAAAGGATAAATTTCATACTTTGCATTTCAGAAAGCAGTTGTCCGAGATAAATTTCATACTTTGCATTTCAGTCCGAGCAGTGCAGTTGTTCGAATTCCTTATAATATGCAACTGAAACAAGTTCTTGTGGGAAAAAGGGTATGCAAAGCAGTTGTCCTAGCAGTTGTTCGAATTCCTTATAATATGCAACTGAAACAAGTTATCGTGGGAGAAAGGGTATGCAAACAAAGTTCTTGTGGGAGAAAGGGTATGCAAACAAAGTTCTTGTGGGAGAAAGGGTATGCAAACAAAGTTCTTGTGGGAGAAAGGGTATGCAAACAAAGTTCTTGTGGGAGAAAGGGTATGCAAACAAAGTTCTTGTGGGAGAAAGGGTATGCAAACAACAAGTTCCTGTGGGAAAAAGGGTATGCAAACAACAAGTTCTTGTGGGAAAAAGGGCGGTTTGAATGTGGGGGTTGTTCTTATTTTACCGGAAATGAGCCCCCCTCCCCTGATCGTAGTTCTCCCCATATTAAAAAAAGATGGGCAAAATTCAAAAAAATATAGTGAAATCTCCTTTGCAAAATTAAAAAAAAATATAGTGAAAGCAAACGGGAAAATAGTAATATGTAGAACGGTGCCTTGAATCTGCAACTTCTAATCCTCTATATGCTAAAAGAAAGGAAGCTCTTATCCTACCTCACTACATTTCTTCCCTATTAACCGCAACAGGATTCCATGGCACAAAGATATAAAATACATTAAAAGCTAAAATGGTAAATAAGCTGCAGAGAACAATGAATTGAGATTGTCCATAAGTAACAAAAAAGAGGAAGTGCTGCTAACTGTCAAGTCTATAGAGAAGCTAAATCCAAATATTTTCTGAACAGAAAACACCATGGTCTGTGAATCCTTCAATATATTCATTCTCCCATTTGCCATAATCATAGTTCTCATAAATAACAACTGAAAAGCATGGTTTTCAAGCAAAACTTCAAAAAATGAATAGATTTACCTTATCTTCCGCCAACAAGGGGAGATGGAGAAGAATCTCAAGCGGCTCAGTGTCCGCAGCCATCACTACAAACTCCGAAATCCCTCTATTCAGCGTCTTAGTAGCTGAAACTCCATTAAAAGAAAGCCATCAGCCAAAGAAAACAAAAAACACCGAGCAAAATCCTCATCCAATTCCTCTTAAAAACCTAAAACTCTCTTCAAATGAAAAGGCACCAACACTAAACAAATCACGGTACCTTCATTCGCGCCCTTCTTTAGCTGCTTGTAGTTAGCAGCTTGCTGAACAAGATCAAGAATAGTAATAGTAAGCTGCGAATCAGCCAAAGGATAGGCTTTGGGATTCACCGCTTCTCCTGTCTGCAAAAAACGCAACAGCCATTAAAATCCACGAAAACAAACGCAAACAAAATCAATACAAGTCCTTTAAGCGAATCCATCTCCTACATGAACTCGTAACAGAGACACAGTACCATTTTAGATCGAAGAAGAACGGTAGGGTTTTAACACAGCAGATTTTGAAGAAAAGGAATTAGGGTTTAAGAGCTACCGGTAAATTCTCGATGATATATGTATGGAAGACACAGAGAAGAATCATACTAATCGGGCCGATCCCCTTGGAAGTTGCCGTCTAAATTGGGCTTTCGGCCCAACTTATCTATCTAATAAAAGCTGGGCCGGCCCAACTCCGTGGGCTGGGTCCATATATTTGTGGTTTTGGGCCCACTAAGCCCACTTAATAATTAAAGTTTTCCTAATTTTTATTAATTTGGTTTTTAATTAAACTTAATTTTGGGAATTTTCATTTATGATTGTAATATATTATATTATTTGACCAATTTTGATAATAATTAATTTTAAATAATTATTTATTTTCTTTTGTTCATGAGGTGGGCCCACGACGATCCGGGAGCCAATAGAAATCCAGAGCCACGCTAGCAGAAACCGGGACGACTGAACCCGCGAAATGGCGAATGGTCAGAGCTCAGGAAGTTCTTCAAATGGAAACCCAGTTTTCATATGAACTGTTCATCAAATCGCGAAGAATTTTCAGTTCTTCATTTCCATTGAGTGCATAAAATCCACTTCATAGCTCCTCAAAACAGCAGAGAAAAAGCGGAGCCAACATGGATTGGATTGGAGAGAGCACCGAGTATTTGAAATCCATCAAAATCAGACAGATTCTATCTCAGGCTATCAGTTTTGGTACGTAAATTGAATCTTTGGTATTTCATTCACGTTTTGTTGTGTATCAAATGATTATGCTGCTTATGAACTGAATTGATGGCTTTTGAACTGCTTAAAGCTCTGCTCTATCTGAAAAATTTATGACTAAATAGTTATAACCATATAAGTTTAGGAAATTTCAATAGTATTTTTCCTTATCATCCCCAGGAGGAACATATTATAGAGGAAGGGGGAAAAGGATTTAGCTGTCTTTTGTTTTTATATTCGAATTCCTTGGTCCTGGAATCCAACTGCAAAACTCATTCTCTTCTCCATTTATTTGCTTTAAGACCAATATTATGATGTATCAGGTTTGATTGTTACATCTGCATTGATGATTTGGAAAGCATTGATGTGCTGGACAGGGAGTGAGTCACCTGTTGTGGTTGTGCTCACCGGAAGTATGGAACCTGGTTTTGCGAGGGTGAGCTGATTCTATAAGATATGTATATTGCCCATTCATTCTCTTAAAGTGGTTATAACTTTTCTCAACCTCAGCATTACTCAACCTGTTATAGAACAAAAACTCGACCTAGAAGTAAAAGGTTCAAATCTCTATTCCATGTGTTGTTAAACTCAAAAGTTGTGAGATCTCTTATCGGTTGGAGAGGGAAACAAAACATTTTTTATAAGTGTGTAGAAATTTTTCCCTAGCAGACACGTTTTAAAACCTTGAATTTGACAGCAATACATTACGGGCTAAAGCGGACAATATTTACTTGCGGGAGGCTTGGGTTGTTACAAAAGGTATCAGAGTCAGACACCAGGCAGTGTGCCAACAAGAACGCTGACCCCCAAGGAAAGTAGATTGTGAGATTCCACATCGGTTGAGGAGAACGAAGTATTCCTAACAGACACGTTTTAAAACTGTGAAATTGACGGCGATACGTAACAGATAAAAGCAGACAATATTTGTTAGTAGTGGAGAGGACTTTGGCCTGTTACAAAATAGCTTGGTTTACATTTGATATTAGCTTGGGTCTAAAATTAATGAACGACTCAACTGAACCTTGAACTATGATATCTAACTCTCTTTGGTAATCCAAAGGCTAATTTAGAAGACATGGTTGGAATCTGGTCTTTAAAACTATGTATAGAAACTTGTGTCAAAAACTTTTTATCCTAAAACGATCATCGTCTCTTGGAATTAGCTGAGTCCCAAGTAAATAAATAAATAACTACTATGGCTCTTATATATCAGATTTAGCTTTTTTCTTGATCATGTTACAGGATAAAGTATTTATTCATACTGACTGTAATGCTTCATTCTGGTGTATATTCACCTAGCCCTGTTAGCAATAGCATATAATGGGGGAAAGCTTATGATGAGTTTTATATGGTGCAGGGCGACATTCTCTTCCTCCATATGAATAAGGATCCAATTCGTGCAGGGGAGATCGTTGTGTACAATGTTGAGGTAAGTTTTGCTCTCATGTGTGGGGAATCTGCTCCCAGGTCTACTGCGTCATGAACTAATGTGATACATTTCTACACTGTTATAGCTAGCTTTTTTTTTTAAAAATTTTTTTGTTATGAAATTGAATTTGGGTTGGGCAATTGTCGGTGTGCCAGTAAAGATGCGGAGCTCCGAAGGGGATGGACACCGAGCGGTGTGCCAATGAGAACGCTGGACCTTGAAGGGGGTGGATTGTGAGATCCCACGTCGATTGGAGAGAGGAATGAGTGCCAACGAGGACGCTGGACCCTGAAGGGGGTGGATTATGAGATCCCACATCGGTTAGGGAGGATAACGAAGCATTCTTTGAACGAGTGCCAACAAGGACGCTGGGCCTTGAAGGGAGTAGATTGTGAGATCCCACATTGGTTGGGGAGGAGAAGAATTCTTTATAAGGGTGTGGAAACCTCTCCCTAGCAAATGCGTTTTAAAAACCTTGAGGGAAAATCCGAAAAAAAAAGTCCAAAGAAGACAATATCTATTAGCAGTGGACTTTGACCGTTTCGGGAGTGAGTGAGTTCATTCTTCTATGTTAAGATGGAAGTATTTCTTTTCCTTACTTTGATTTGTGTTAAGATTTTACCTCGTTAACCTCTAATCACTAATTGTTCAAATATGTCTGTTGAGAGAAACTCCAATCTAATCTATTATAGATAGTTATTCATATTGTCTATTACCTATAGAGTTGTGACTTCGTAGCCTATCATTCTGGTTCGTGTACTAATATGCATTTGTAATGCTTTGCTAGGGACGTGATATTCCAATCGTCCATCGTGTAATCAAGGTAAGGCTTCTCAGAAGAATTTCTCTATCTTTGAGATGAATTTCAAAGTGCAGACAACTTATTTTATTATCGATCATATGTATCATTGAAGCAATGTGTTTTGGATTATATGGTTGGTTCAACACAACCATATTTTAAGTTTAGAACTACGATGTTGTAGTGGCTCAACAGAAAATGATTCTGTGAGATCCCATGTCGGTGGGGAGGAGAACGAAGTATTCTTTATAAGAGTGTGGAAACCTCTTTCTAGCAGACGTGTTTTAAAAACCTTGAGAGAAATCTCGAAAAAAAAAAAGCCTAAAGAGAACAATATCGGCTAGCGATAGGGTTGGGCTATTAAAGATTCCTTACCTCTCATTGTTCTTATTGTCTTTCTAAAGTCATCAATAGAACTCTTTGCAAATAACTTGACCCATGTGACAATGAAACAAACAGAAACGTTCATTTGTTATAGTTTATCTCGTTCTACAAGTTCTCAATTCCATATCTTATCAGGTTCACGAGGCAAGAGATACAGGAGAAGATTATATACTTACCAAAGGTACTTGAACTTGAACTAAGAATACAAAAAACCTTTTGAAATGAAGTGATTTTTGCTGAATATTTGGCAATGAGAAAATTTTCAGGTGACAATAACCACTATGATGACATTGGACTATATGCTAAGGATCAGCTTTGGTTGCAAAGACACCACATCATGGGAAAAGTCATCGGGTAAACTTGGAATAACGACTGATAAAACGATGAATCATGCTTGAATTCGTTGTTCTTTCTCCAAAATCTAACCATATTTGTCGAGTTCATGTCCATTAGAATGCTCTGTTTCATACAAGTGAATTTTTGCTTGTGCAGTTTCTTGCCATATGTTGGTTATGGAACAATTATCATGACAGACCTGCCTATAATCAAGGTCTGAAACTGTTGGAAACTGATTTAATGGATATAGAATTGGATTCTCATTTTGAATGATTTGATTTCAACTAATGTTGGAGTTTGTTCTTCACTGACTACTCGTTTTGTTGTTATTGCAGTACATCCTTATTGGTGCCTTGGTATTGCTGATCTTAACCTCCAAGGATTAACAAGTAAGGATAGAACTTTACTTCTAATTTATACCCAATATGATACAGGATAGGAAGAGTATAGGATGATAATCGATGTGACATCCAATATTGATCGAGGGTTAACTAGTTGATCTATGCTCGATCTAGCTCAAACTTGGATACTTTGTCATCCATTGACAATATAACGTGTAATACAAATAGTTCAAATGAATGTTGAAGAATTTGTTCCCAAACTTTTTCAGTACCTCAACTCCTACCTCAAGTACCTAGAGGCTACGAAAATAGAAAATTCCGTTCATTGCAATAAAAAAGAGATTTTAGTTTAAACAGAGAATGGGGAGGAAATAGAAAGAGATTTTTCTCGGTTACCTAAAAAGTTTATTACATTCATTTTAATATTTGGTCGAAGACATTTTAAATAAAAAGTCATTATTAAAGTCCAGAGTCTAAAAGGACTCTCTCAGTTGTAGATGAACTTGAGGTCTAAGTTCGAGAATGTTAGATCCTCAATACAACATTGTGTTATTGTTCTCAGAGTTCAAGAGTATTCACTCTCCAGAGTAGCACCACTAGATCTTCAACTAGGTGAAAATTCTCGCATTCTGTATATACACGTTCCTGCAGCTCCATTAAAGAATGTTTGCACAAGGTAGAACCTCCTCAAAGCAAACACCTACGAAAAGATTGTTTCAAACCTACGGCCGACATAGGGTGCTCGACAAAATAACGAGAATCAAATAAACACTTGAAGGATAAAGCTAAAAATCTTATGAATAAGTAGCATTTGTTCGCCTTTTAAAAGTGAACTAACATATTATTTAACGAAGCATGGATCGATTAGCAGATAAAAGTAAATCGAGCTTGATCAAGTCCCAACGAGTAAATAACATGCACTAAAAACAGGAATGACTTGTATTGACTTGTATTGAAAGGTATGGATGCTTAGCTTTAAGGCCACAAGGCTCCTATAAATGAGGGTAGCCATTGAAATGAGGCCTCAAACAACAAAATTAATGGCATGGATAAGCATTAAGGCACCCTCCAAATGCATCCATTCATTACTCCCTATCTCTAAAAGACATGGGAGACCCACAACTTTGCATACACACACACATTTGTTGTATTTATATAGAAATATGGATAATGGGCTAAGTGTCCTTTTTTAACTTTCAAACATATTCTAAAACTATAATCATGCATTTAATTTTCAATCTTCAATTTTCGTATTCATACATCTGTCCTTTCATCATAATTTAACGTGTAATTATCATAATTCGTTAAGGGATTTGGTGCAATTTCAAATCATCTCGAGTAAGGACAGTGCCACCAAGGAGAATTATTGTGTTTTGGTATAAGTTTGAAGCTACGACACTCTTTTATCCTACCCCACGCGAGCAAATAAAGTAAAGCCCGTGAACAAGGTAAAATTTTCCGTGTGATTGCTTCTTAATAATCGATTAGATGTAGATCCAAAATACGATTACTCGACTCCCTAATGTCCATTGGACACGAGTAATTCTTTTTTTTTTTTTTTTAAATTTCCACCTCATACATTGAATAGTGAAAAATTGTTGGGCACACTGTGATGACTTCCCAGATAATCTCTCCTTAAACAAAGTTCGTGTGAGATCCTCACATCGGTTGGAGAGGGAATGAAGCATTACTTATAAGGGTGTAAAAACTTCTCCCTAGTAGACATGTTTTAAAACCGCGAGGCTGATGACGATACATAACGGGTCAAGGTAGACAACATCTACTAGCTATGGGTTTGGGCTATTACAAATGGTATTAAAGCCAGACATGAGGCAGTGTGCCAGCGAGGGCGTTGCTAGCCTCCAAGGGAGTGGATTGTGAGATCCCACATCGGTTAGAGAAGGGAAAGAAGCATTCCTTATAAGAGTGTGAAACCTCTCCCTCGTAGACACGTTTAAAAATCATGAGGCTGACGGTGATGCGTAACGAGTCAAAGCAAACAATATCTACTAGCAGTGGACTTGGGCTGCTACAGTTCAAATCTATTGAGAGGGCAGAAGTTTATATCATAGACGTTTACCCGCCCTCCTAATAACCATTAGACACTGAGTAAATTCGTAAAATTTCACAAACATTGTCTCACACATCGAACAATGTAAAACTTAAGAATTGATTCCACCAAACCCCATCTTACACATCCAACAATGTAAAAACGAGAACAATTTACTCAAACTCGATCCCACCAAATTGAGACACGACAACCGATACACGTTTTAAAATTTCATCTTCACATATCTTATCTCGTCGTTATAGACGTTAAAATATTTAGGTATAAAATAAAATAAAAGAGAAAAAAAATAGTTTAAACCAATAATATATCCAATGCCTTTTACCCCATATCCATGGGGCCCATGTAAATTGAGAATATTGTTCAATATTCCCTTTGTTTTATTGGTCATATTCACTCCACTTAATAATTTTATTTATTTATTTATTTGTAAAATTTTATTTTATTTTATGTAATTATATTATATGCTTATTCTCAATGGGAAGGTGATGATGCTAGCTGTCTTAGCAAGTATGGTCTAGGGGTTAATTTATTGTGACACATACAACAATTAATGCATTATTTATTCATTAATGTCAAGCATACCCTACATCATTATTATTATTATTATTTTTACTATAAAGTATTTCGAATAATTCTTTTCTTTTTATTTTCATAATTTAAATATAATTCGTCACACCGTTATTTACCTATCTTGAATTTCTCTTGTGCATACGTTAAATATATTTTATTTTATTAGTTCAACAACACGTGGAAGTGAAAGTACGAACTTTTAATCGTTTAGGGTATGATACAACAGTGGTTGACAACACTTAAAGTGGAAGAAACGTGCACTGTCTTAGTACAAATAATAACTTCAATTTTTTAAGTTTTTCTTTACTATCATATGGTCAGAATCATTCCGTGATGTCCCACATTGGTTGGGGAGGAGAACAAACCACTATTTATAAGGTGTGAAAACCTTCCCCTAGGAGACGTGTTTTAAAGCTTTGAGGGGAAGCCCGAAAGGGAAAGCCCAAAGGGGACAAATGGTATCAAAGCCCCAAATTCACCGCTAGCAGATATTAATGCTCCAGATTCACCGCTAGCAAATATTGTCCTCTTTGGGCTTTCCCTTTCACGTCTCCTAGGTGAAAGTTTTCACACCCTTACAAATGGTATTAGAGCTAGACACCGGACGATGTGTCAGCCTTCTCGTTGTTCCCCGTAGGGGGTAAACACAAGGCGGTGTGCTAGTAAGGATGCTGGGCCCCAAATGGGAGTGAATTGTGATGTCCCATATTGGTTGGGGAGGAGAACAAACCACCCTTTACTAGGGTGTGGAAACCTTCCCCTAGCAGCGTTTTAAACCCTTAAGGAGAAGTCCAAAAGAGAAAGCCCAAACTAGCGGTGGATCTGGGGCGTTACACATTCTCATTTAAGTATAGTCTCGATTCATTCATGTATCTTAAGAGTAGTTAGGAATTTAAGGTCCCGACTTCGAAAAAGAAATACATGTCAATTATCGTTAAGTCGGGTACCGACTAAATTGAAAAACCCATCAATTATGAAATGTTCTTTTGGCCTCAAATTTCCGTTTCTATGAGCAATAATTTTCCACATAATGACATAAAAGGCATTGTATTTTAATAAATTAAATATATTTTTTTTCTTTTTTAGAATAGGTTTTGTTGGATATACAAAGAGAAAGCACATGTTATAGCCTACCTATACGGCGGCGTTTGGTATTATATTTATTAAGGAAAAGACTATTTTTTAGGTTCAAATATTTATTAGCGAAAAAGCTAATCAATTATTTTAAACATTTAATTTTAAATTTATTCCATTTAAAAAAAAAAATAATAATAGTAATAAACATTTTAAATTTGTTCGATATCTTATCTCGTAATAGTTGACCTAAAATAATCGAACTAAATTTTTTAAATTTTGATTCGATATAAAATAATAATAATAATTTAACATATTACCTAAATATTTTTTATATATATATCCCGGCCGACACGCAGTGACCCGCTCTCGCTACGGGAGTAGCTCGAGCAGTCCACCAACAGCCAAGGGGTTCGGGATTGGGACCCTCGTGCTCAGCCCTCAGAGCCAATTCTTTTCCCGAGGTTACATGATCCATTTTGCGACTTCGCTTGGAGACTTGATGCGGTTATGAGTACGACCGAGCGTAGGAGGCACTCGGTCCTCTAGATTTTTAAGGACCGTCGGGGGGCACACCAGACACCACACGACGTGTGATGCTCTTCCAGCCGTTGGACCCTACCTCCGCCTGAGTCGCTTCAAGGACCGCTCCCGTGCCCAGCTCTTAGAGCCAATCCTTTTCCCAAGATTACGGATCTATTTTGTCGACTTCCCTTGCCTAGATTGTTCCATCGACCAAAGGTCATTCACCTTGGAGATCTGATGCGATTATGAGTACGATCGGGCAGGGGATGCACTCGGTCCTCCAGATTTTCAAGGACCGCCGGGGGCACACCAGACACCACGCGCGACGCGCGATGCTCTTCCAGCCGCTGGACCCTACCTCCGACTAAGCCACTTCCAGAGTAGAATATATATATATATATATTAATTATAGAAACATGTTTTTTGGGTTCACAACATATCCTATGGTCTCCAAAGTGTCCACAATTTTGATTTTTGGGAAGCATATTTTATTTAATTTAATTTAAAATGAAATCTCCTTTCTTTTCTATGGACAAATAAACCAACCAACCCTATAGTTTAAAGGGTACCTTACCCTACAAATAAGGTGTTTTTTTTTTTTTTTTTAAATTAAAAAAATAATTTTTTTTAAGCTCACAAAGAACAAAATATTTCAAATCTTTCACAACCAATTTACTATCATTGATGGAAGGCAATAACACATGGTTTGCCTCTTTTGATTATTCCCAACCACTTCCCTAATCATTTAACCCCTTTTTTTTCCTTTATATACTTGATGAACCAAAGCTCTCTCGAGATCGTGATGGCTACTCTAAACAAGCAAATGAAAGGAGGATTCAAGTCCTTTTACAAGTCTCGAGATGGAGCTTGTAACGTACAAGCATGTGAGTCTGTTTCAGTGGATAAAGCATCTGTTTACAAGTATAACTGGTTGGGTAGGAAGAGTAAGAAGGTCGTTCATCAACATGGCGGGTCGAGAGGGGCGAAGGGCGGTGGGGACGGTGACGGAAGCGGGGGAACGGAGGGGAGAAAGATGGTGGTTGAGGGTAGGAAGTCAGTTTCCCATGTGGAAACGAACTTGGGATCAGTGGCTTCATTTCTTCAAGTGAAGGTATTGGTATCAGACATGCCTGAGATGATGCAAATTCAGGCGTTTAGATGTGCAAGGAGGAGCTATGACAGCTTGGAGAAGCTCAGCTCAAAGCTCATGGCTTACAATCTCAAAAAGGTAATGTATTGTTCTATATCGACAAACTTTTTTTTTTTTTTTTTTTTTTTTTTTTTTTTTTTTT